CCTCCATCCCCGTGTCCTGTCACCTCCCCTCCTCCATCCCCGCCCGTGTCCTGTCACCTTCCCTCCATCCCCCGTTGAGTCCTGTCACCTCCCCGACCCCCAGCTGAGTCCTGTCATCCTCCCCTCCATCCCCGGCCGTGTCCTCTCATCTCCATACCCAGTCGTGTCCATCTATGGCCTTGGGCTGCCCCCATAGGGCTCCTGTCTCCTCCTCACACTGTCAGGCCCCTTGGTCACCTGCCCTGCATGTGGACATGACGCCCTTCGGCGTCACTCCCCTCCCCTGCCCTCCTTCCAAAGTCCCCATGTTTCTATTGTGTGGGTGATGAAGATTTTAGCCCCTTTGTCATTGAGTGTGTGCGCTCCCAGCCCTGCTGTCCTTCTAGTTCAATTCCTGCTGGGTCTCCCCCCTCAGCCACCATGTTCTCAAATCTTTCCCTTGTACTCTCCGCCACTGCACGGGGCACCTGTCATTTGGTATATAAATAGGCCATAAGGCTCAGCCTAGGGGAGGAACCAGGGTTGTTTGCCCAAAGAATAAAGACTGAGACCAGACCCTGGGTACAAAAACCATTAGGTTCTGGTACCGGGTCACCAGGAGAGAAAAAAAAACTAGCATATTCTAGTGCATACCTTATTGGGGTTTACAGCAATAGCTCGTCTGTGCCTCAGGGGAAACCCAAGGGGTGGGTGCTGGAATCGGGGCCTAGGTAATGGGTGGGGAAACAGAGGTACGGCAGGGGGCCTGCACACCCAGCTCCTGGCCCAGACACTGGGTTGAGCTTTCCTCTTCCCTTTGTGGGGGCTCCTCCCGTCCAGACCAGACGGACCCCAGTTCTAGTGAAGGAGGACTTGGAGAAGGCTGTGTAGTCCCTCTTTATAGACTGTACTCTCATTAGGGGAGGAATAGTCAGTAGAGTTGAGTCTGGAAAACGACTCAGACAACCACCTTAACTGTGGTGTACCTGCCAGTCTGAATTCCTTCAGAAAAAGCGTGAGCACGTGTGTTGTAGCAGATGCGGCTTCTGTCACTGGACTTGTGACTCAGTAGACACTGTGGGCCTGGAGGAGGAAGAGCTTCAGTTACTGGGGTGATTTCTTAGTGAGTTTTTCTATCAGATTTCCTTCTGGAAAGAGATTAGTCAGCGCTATGGAGAAACCTGTTAAAGTGGGAAGCATTTGCACCTGCAGCCTCTTCTTTATAATGTTTGACAAGCAAAGAGTGTCGCTTGGGTGTCATTTATGGGAAGGTCAGACTGAATCAGGTATAACGCCCACCCTCTGAACAGGGCTGGGCATGAGGTGGAGGCCGCAGAAGGTGTATGACTTGGACCTTCAGGACGTCCTGAGGGAGATCATCTCCCACTGCGCACGTAACCCGCCTCTCTCTCCCAGGAGAACAAGGGATCTGTGGAGATCATGAGGAAGGACCTGAATGACGCTCGAGATCTGCACGGCCAGGCGGAATCAGCAGCTGCTGTGTGGAAGGCAAGTGGTTGACCAGTTTGCACCCTCAGGTCTGAGTGAAATCGGAAACATCTGCACCCTTCCTGGCGCATGCTGCTCACGTGACTCTGGACAAAGGGAAAGTGGATTAAGCAAAGCAGGCTGACCGAACTGATGGGCAGCCGCTTGGCTTGGTCGACTGGAGGAGGCTGTTTTGAATCAGTATTTTTCTAGGGATTTTTGTGGGTATTTCACAAATATAATTTAGCCTCAGTGTTTGGGGATTCTCTTTTTTTCTCCATGGTTTATGTGTATGGGTGTTTTGCTACATCCAGCATCCTTTTTGGTAAATAACCCTTTGAAATACTCTTGATTTTGATCTGAAGGCAGCACAGTTATTTCTGCTCAGTGACCGTGTTGGAAGGACTTTATAAGCGTGGCTTTCTTGTGGTGCTTTGTGGCGGTGCTTTCCACAACAGCGTATAAAATGTAACGGTTACTAGAATTATTTTAGATGACTCGTTGACAAAATTACAAATTAGTTTAAACTTTTATTTCCTTTTCTTCCATGTAGTAAAATTTGTACTGGTTCCTCAGGCTTTCGTAACTTCCCTATCAGCCCTTTTTCAACATATAAAAGCGGGGTGCTTGTCAGAGCTGGAGAAGCTCTCTGCTTGTGAAGCCTGCACTGCCCAGGTAAAAGCCACTAGTCCCAGCCCAGGGGGCAGTCCTCTGTCCTCTAGCTCCCAGCCCGGCCCTGGCCCCCACTCCCCGGAGTCCTGAAGCGCATGCCTTACGCAGACAGCCACAGAGGTGGTAAATTGGAAACTTGGTGCAAATCAGGCCCCAGCAGCACGGTCCACCCTTGGTGAACTGCTCTTAGATTCTCTCCTCTGATAAGCACAGTGGTGTGAACTGAGGCCAAATGATACTGAGGCTTTGGAGCCCTCCAGCTTTTCCAGTATCCCTGTGTGCCCCCCTCCCTGAGTACCGTTTTTGTCCACAAATTTTAGCAGATAGGTGCCTTCGATAAAACCTTTTTATTTTGGGTAGAGACACTTAAGATGAAAGAGGCCTTCTAAACTGAAAGGACCGAGTTTGTGGTGTGCCATGTCTGCCCACGAGCAGGGGCCCCTGAAGGTACTTTGAACCGAGGAGCCTGGGCAGGAATCCCGCTGTGGTTTGTTTTCTGTGTCGGTGACAAAAGGTGGTCCTTCTTACCCTTGCTGTCACCATCACTGTGTGGCCCAAAGAACTCAGTGACAACCTGGGAAATTCAGAGTCTCAGCCCACCGTTCTTTCCTTTTTCTCTCGGTTAAGTATTTGTTGAAGACCGGCCAAAAGGCTGAGTGGAAAGTCTGAATGTTTTCGTTAAAGGCTAGCATGAAGGTTTTGGGGTTCAGATAAGAATGGTGGGAAGGCCATTAGAGAGACGGGCGTGTATGTTAACCTGGCAGCAACGCCCGGGGGACGTTTGTCTTTCCCCTCGTCTGTAGGAGTGGAGGGCAGACAGGGTCTTTGTCAATACCCAGGGCTCACAGCAGTCACCAGCGGAAGACCACACCCACGCTGTACGAGCAGGTGGGAAACGCTGTACTCACGCAGAGAAGAGGCAGCGGGAGATCAGCATCACCAGCAGGCACTGATCCCCCGTGGCCAGCAGGCTCGTCCCGCACGTGGCCAGTGCAGGGCAGGCGTTCTCCATTCACCCCATTTGTGCCGTAGTCCAGAGAGCCTCTTGCCTCCCCGCCAGGAACAGAGGTAGAAGCAGGGTTGGCCAGATGCCACATGGTGCCCACACATGTGAAGGAGACAGAGGAAGTTACTGTGCCCAGAACAGGGGAAGGCTTCTCTGATAAGGAGAAGGAACTGCGAGAGAGAGAGAGTGACCCAGTTCCCAGCCTCCTTATCAAAGAATGTTCTGGGCCCAAGGCCTTTACTTAGACGGCCTGGATGGGAGGGTAGAGGCAGACCGTTCCCCCAGCAGTCTCCAGGTAGAGCTGAGTGCTTTACAGCAAGCATTCTTCTCTTCTGCCAGAGACGAGGGCATCAGTAGCAGGGAGGGTGTACCCAGGACAGGGTGGGGAGCGTGTGGATGTGCCCGCTCGGAGACACCAGCGTCCTTCCCTAACTGCCCGTGCGTAGGGCCACGTGATGGACCGCAGGAAGAAGGCACTGACTGACTATAAGAAGCTGCGCGCCTTTTTTGTCGAGGAGGAAGAGCATTTCCTACAGGAGGCGGAGAAGGCGGAGGAGCCGCCGGAGGACGAGGGTGCCGATCCAGCCGAGAGGTTCAGGACCCTGCTGCAGGCGGTCTCGGAGCTGGAGAAGAAGCACCGCGACCTGGGCCTCAGCATGCTGCTGCAGGTGCGTGCTGCACCCTCCTTGCTTGAGCCCCTCGTCTCGGGGGGGTGTTTCTACTTGCTTGTGCTGATGAGGCAGCGACTGCAAAGGGTTGAAGAGATTTGCTTGCGTTCTCAAGAAATGCCTAATCTCCGAGATTGTCAGATCAGAGCGTAGATAGGAGAAACAGGAGGAAGCATGTTAGCAAAGTCATTTACCGAAAGAAGAGGCTTTAAAATACTGCGTGACTTCTATTTACTGTAGCCTTTTGGGACTGAATTTCAGGAGTGGGTGATCCAGGAGAGATACTTGGAAGAATTTTAATCCGAGGAGCATGGTGTCCTAGGCTTCCAAGTGGGAAGGGAAGTTTGATGAAGGGAGATTGTACCCCTGATGCTGAAGCAGCGTGACACCTTGGCCCCTCACCCTGGGGTCCTGAGGACAAGAGCTATGGTCATGGGCTGAACGAGCACCTGAGGCACCCGCTTAGGAGTGCAGTGGGTCACCACCTCTTGGTGGCTGTGTCCCGTGGCCATCTGGCTCTCATGCCGGATGTTCTCTTCACACTTTCTGACCCAATTCCGTGCCTCAAACTCAAGACCTACGACCAACTGATTCTGTGCTTTTTTTGTCATATATGATCCTGGAATCAGCAACTCCCAGTCCTTCCCTTTTCCTGTCTGATAGGTTTCCTTTTCACCCCTAGCAACACTGGCCAACGGAATCAGCTCTAAGCAATTCAGCCGCTCACGGCCGTTGTGGGTTACGAGGCCTCTGGAAGAGATTTGGGGGTTGGTGTCGTTTCTTTGGGTTCTGATGTTTATAGACATGGCACCCAGGAAGTGCTGGTGCTGGAAATCCCTGAACATGTTTGTCTCTCTCTTTTCTCCCCTGTGTAGTGATGGCGCTGGCCCAGCAGGAGGGATCCCTCCTGGAGCTTGAGGCAGAAGAAAGTGCTTCTACACGCTGGCTTACAGGCCCTCCCTCTGCCCTTCCTCGAGGCCTCCTTCCAGGCCTCTGGCCGTTCTGCATCCCAGGGCCCTTTCTATCTGAACCATTAACATGTAGACATTGAAAAGCACCTGTAGGTGCCCCTGCCATTGGTTGTTCAAGATAATAATTTTCATCCAAGTGTTCGTTTTCCATTTTCTTTGAGGTGTTAATGTTTTTGAGACTGCAAACATTTTTATAGTAGAGGCTTCTCACAGGGAGACTTTAGCCCGGTTGTATTCCATCTCTTCATAAAACTCCTGTCGCTGATATATAGCTTTCCTCAGAAATTTGTCTGGAGTCTCAGTTGCCCACGGTGATGGTCTGGTTACTAGATGGTCTAGATTCTTGTGCTTTGGGACATTTCTCTCAGATGCCAAGGGAACCAGGTGCTGTACCTTTTCAATGAGGCTTAAGGCAGGGTTGTCCTACTGGACATTGGTACCCTCGCCCAGAGATCACTTGGCAGATGCGTAAGGCACATCAGTTAAGGCTAAATTTGGGGTTAGCTTCCAGGAGGAGTCATTGCAAAGGGGGCATCATGACTCCTGGGTGGGGAGGAGGGAGGCATTTGAGCTACCACTTGGGTCACTGCCTGTGTTTGGGGCTCAGGCCTTTTACCATCAGCAAAGGGCTTGTCTGCCTTCCACTGTCACTCTGGCTGCCAGTCCCCCTGACAGTGTGCGCTCACAGAAAGATGCACCTACAGGGCGGAGTCCACAGAAATGTCTCCGCAGGCTTCCTTGTGGGCCCAGAGACAGCCTGGACCCACCTCCGTGTCAGCAGCAGGAAGCCCTGAGGCTCCTCTGAGCTTCGGCCAGGGCTCTTGTAACACTGCTGCCTCATCTTCATTGTTTTGTGAGCAGAACCCAACTTTTCAGGAAAAAGAAAGAAAGGGAAGGAGGAGCGGGGAGCAGGGGTGAGGGAGGGGGGAAGAACAGTGTTTTGCCCCTCATCCGGGGGGTGCCTCCCCAAGGTGCGCCTGCTGGGAGTTGTGCAGCTATCCTCGTCCGTCCTGCCTCTTCTCGGTGGGCTCGTGTTACCTGTTGCCGTTCTTGCCTGACTTGCCCTTCTCTCTTCTTCACTGTCCTGTCATGCCTTGAGCCGAATGGGACATTTTTCGGGCTGTGAGGAAGCAGTGCTGGGCTGGCAGCAGTCTGAGGCCGCCAGGCCCTGGGCAGGCAGCCCATCTCCAGACCATGACAGCTCTGAGGAGCTCACGGGTCTCCAGGCCTCACCGTGGTATTTCATCTCACGGTAGCCCACCGCCCTTTACTGCTCTTAGTTCCTGTGACAATTGCTTTAGCAGGATGTGTGATTCAGTGGTAGAGCAGCGCCTGCGGCTTCAGTGTGCGTAGAGTAGTCTGAGTTAGGAGGACACAGCTCGTAATAGACGGCAGTGAGAGGTGAGCATGTGGATGCACATAAACATTCCGAGTTGTCTGGGTAGAGCGCCTGAATTCCAGCCTCGACATACGACAGGATACTGCCGTCGGCTTCCAGGGGTAGCAGCTTACTCGTTAATTAGATGCCTGTTGTCGTGAGGGGCGAGGACTTCCTCCTGGTGCCGTTGCTCCACAAGAAGCAGGTGACACCACTGTCTTCCTTCCTCGAGCCGCAGAGAGCCTCAGATGTGATGGCTTGAGGAGTCTGGGCAACGACCTCAGCACCCCTGAGGGCCCGTGTGGGTGGGTGTTGGGATTTCCACACTGTACGATTCTGCGTAACGGTGAACACGTTCAGCTGAGCTGTAACAGCGAATACTGTAAGAGGTCGTGATTGTGAATGGCGGCTTACAGGAGGGCATGACAGCGGCATTGTAGCGAGTCCTTAGCCCATCAGGCACGTGTCCCAGCCGCGTGCAGTCACGTCGGCGTGCAGCCGTTGAACGCTGGGGCAGGACAGTCAGAAGCCGTGCGCGTGCTGCGTGGGCGCAGGCGGTGGTGCAGATGTCCTGGCCAGCAGGTGTTGGTGAGTTGGTGGATGGCTGCAGAGAAGACTGCCAGGGGCGTGCCTCTGAGCTTTGTGTCCGTGCACATTCACTCTGGAAACCGGTTTTGGTAAGAAGTGAGCTGTCGTCAGGGGGGCCCGTTTGTGTATCAAGCTTTTCATACCGATGACGCGTGGCATTTTTCTCGTGCACCCAAGCAGCGTGTTGTCATCCTGCCATTAGAGGCACGCCTGCCTGGTGCCCGGGCAGGCTCTCATGTGGTGGCGAATGAAGTTGCGTTTGCTTCAGCCTGTTTGCTTTTGTTCCCTCCTTCCGCTCTGTGTCAGCCTGGCCTCCCTCCCTCTGTGCCCCTTCTGAGGGCCGTGAACAATACAAGATGGGTCCTGTCTGCAGAGGACTCTGGGAGAGAGCCAGAGTACCTGACCAGGTGGCAACCTGGGCCAGGAAGAAAACACACCAGACACCCGAGTCTGTGGTAACATCAGTTGGAAGCCACTCACTAGTACAAACCAACCCCATCCGTCATAGATGAGACATTTTTTTTCTGAGTTCCCCTACATGTATCCTTGCACGTAAGCACTAAGTATATAAACCCGCACCCCATACTGCCTTGTGTGGACCTCTACCTGGGTGACTCCGTGCTTCGACTGTCCATCCTGAGAATCTTGGCTCCAACCTCTGTAAGTTCCCTAATAAAGCTAGATCTGATCCATCTAGCTTTCTCTGCCTCTTTTTTGGAATCTGGCCTGTACCCCTCAGCCACTCCTGCCACTGGTCCTACGGGGGGTGACACCCCAACAGGGTGTTTATGCAGGTGCTGCTGTGCCCTGCACGAAGGTGGCTTCTGTAGCTCCTGCTCTTTTCTAGAAGGTGGGAAAGCTGCAACAGCTACATCCAGATCTCACGACAGCCCCAGCAGACTATGACCTTGGACAAGCCAATGTCATCCCTAGCAGTGGTCAGCCTTAGAGGAGCCCAGAGCACCTTTGTCCCTGTTCCACCAGGCAGTGGGTGGTGGAAGAGGGTGTAGGGGCCCATCTGTTAAATAGGAGGAGCTTTTTCTCCAACAGTGTAAGGATCCTGGGAACTCTCCCAACACTGCAGGCCTTTGACTTTATCTTAATATTAGAGCAGTTTTGGAGAATTGCAAATTAAAGCATCAATGAAATAACTACTTTAGCTCTTTTAGACTGACTGAAATTAGATAATGCCAAGTGTTAGTAAGGATGTAGCATTAGATGAACTCTTAGATACTATGAAGGGGGAGTAAACTGGTGCAGCCATTTGGAGAACAGTCGGGTCAAATATATGTGTGAGTCAGACCAACTGTGAAGTTAGAGGAAACGCAGACACAAGACTGCCCTCACTTCTGACACCACTGTAAGTTCAGGGAGTTCCCAAAACCACCCCCAGTTTTGATCATTTGCTAAGAGAGCTTATTGAAAGCTGTGGTACTCATGGTTATGGTTTATTATAGGAAAAGGTACAAATTAAAACCAGTCAAAGGAACAGACACACAGGGCAGAGTACTAAATGTGGAATACAGAAGTGCTAAACACGGAGCTCCCAGTTGTCCTCTCCCTGTTGAGTCAGGGCAATGTTATTTTCCAGAAATTGATATGTGACAATACGCTGGAGTATTGCCAACCACGAAGGCTCGCTCAACTGAGTCTCAGTGCCCAGCATCTTTATTGGGGCCCCATCACGCAGGAAGGTTGACTTTCCACTCGGCTGATCTCAGTTTCTAGCCCCTCAGGAAGTTGAGCTGCGTGACCCAAAGTCCCCACCCTAAATCACACTGTTACCATCTCGTATGGCCAGCTCCCACCCTAAATCATATTGTCACTATCTGGCTTGACCCAAGGTCCCCCAACAAATCACTTTGTTAGATTATTCACTGTGACCTACGAACCCCAGGCAAGCAAAGCCATATCAGGTGTGACATTCCAAGGTCTTAGAGATCACCTCTGAGAACTGAGGGCAAAGAGCAGACCTCTTTTTGGGCAACTACACAATATGCATACCCTGCGATGTAGCAATTCCTCTTTTGGAACTGGTATGCCAAAAAGATTCTAATACAGTTCCTTGAGGAGACATGCACAAGGATGGTTACTGAATCATTGTTGGAGAACTGAATTAAGAAGTTGGAGGCAACATGGGTCCCCATGACTGAGGGAATAGAAAGGGAAATATGGAGACGATGCAGCAGAACTAGTTTTGTTACAAGATGTGCACGAGACTAGATGTACACATACGACATGTGCCAGAAAGCTCCGGGAAGAGGTCAGTCTGCTGATGAATTCCTAGAATGCAGATGCAACTTCTTCCAGAGGGTGCGGGCAGGCAGAGGGGCTGTTGTCAGTCTTAAGGACAGGGACTAACAAGGACCTCTTATGAAAACCTGTGGATCAACTGCCTACTGCCATTGATGGTAAGATGTCCCTCAGCTCTTTCTCTGATGGGAAATTAGAGCCACAGAACATGAGGAAGAAATACCCAGAGCTGCTGAAGGTGTTCATTGAAAAAGATGACATCATTTATCTTCCACTAGCAGAGAGGCTGTGGACCATTGGTGTTTCAAATGGTTTCCACAGATGAGATGTTTAAGCTTAGAAAAAACACCTCTTCTACTCAACCAATAGTCCCAGGGACAGGGTTAATAAAGAGACACAGAGGAGTAGAAGGTATTTGCCATGTCTAAAACCCACGTGGCTAATGCCTAGACTATGCAAGGAACTCCTGCAGTTCAGGAACAAGAAGCAACTGGAATGAAAAAAATAAAACAGGCGAAGGGTATGAGCAAGCAATTGCAAAAGGCTTAGAAGCCTAAGAAGAGATACTCAAACTCATCAGTTTTGGGCACAATGAAAATTACACACCCATAAAAGTAATGTCTTTGCACTGTTAGATTGGTGGAGAGGGGAAAGCTGTCTCCTGCCCCTCTCCTACACCATGGCTGAAGGTCCCCATTGTAAGTCACATTGTTAAATTATCTATTCATATTGCACTGTTGGTGGCTACAGACTAGTACAGCGTTCTGGAGCACCATCTGGCAGGCTTCGTTAAGGGCTTAATGACCCTATGACCCAGCAGTTGCACTCCTGAGTAACAGATTCCAAAGAAATTCTCTCCTTGGGCCATAAGGAGATGTAACGTTGGGTGTTTCACTTGGAGGATCAGAAGGTAAAATGGGGGGTGAGGTGGGGTGTAGACCACATAGTACTTACTCTGCAGCCCTTAGGGACAGATAATATTGACACGCAGCAACATGCAGGCATGATGCTGAGTCACAAAATTAAGAAACAAAGTGAAGTATAAAACATAGAACCATTTACCTAAATTCAAAATATATGTACATAGAAGAAAAATTTGTGATCTGCAATAACTCTTCAAAAAAACAAAACCGAAATGGATCCCATTGAATAGTTGCCTATGAGGCAGAGAATGGAGAAAAGGACTGGGGGATGAGGGCAAAGGGAGTAACAACCAACAGGAAGGACAACAGCAAAGGTGACAGACACCCAGAGGATTGCAGATGGGAAAGAGAAGGAGCAGGGGAGCTGTCCAGCTGCTGATTCAGTCCCTCCTGAGGCAGCCCTAGTTCAGGACGTCTCGTGTAAGAAAATGAGCTTTCCTGATCATTTCAGTCACTTTGTTTGGGTTTTTGGTAACTAGTGGCTAAAACTGGCGCAAATGTTAAGTGCTCGACTACTAGCCAAAAGGTTGGCAGTTCAAACTCACTCAGGCGCCACGAAAGACAAGCCTGGTGATCTGCTTCTGAAAGGTCACGGCCTTGAAAACCCAATGGAGCGCAGTCCCGCTCTGCACATGTGGCATCACCATGAGCTGGAATCGACTTGAAGGCAATGGGTTTGGTTTATTTATTCATTTATTATGCATACTGGAGAAGGTTGGGAACCATTGAAACAAATGAAAAAAGAATGCTTTCATTATTATAACATGCAAACAACCTAACTCAGTCTTAAAAACTCAGAATGGATCTCTCTGGCAGTGTTACATTGGATTTCACGTGAGCTTACGATTAACCTTCATTTTGAGACTTCTTATGAGGCTGTGCTCTGTCACCTCAGAATATTTTCTTCAATTTCTTTCTCAGTATTAAAGACCGTGGCTGTGAAATGATTCCCAGTAACAATAGCTTTGAAACCCTTTTGCCCTGGACCTCTCTCCAAGTTCCCTCAAGTGTACAAACAGTGTAAGCAGCCTTACCTACCCACAGCAGGTCTAAAGACCTGTCTCAGCATGCTCTTAACATTTTTTTCAGGAGAAAGCTGGTGCACAGAAGGGGATTAGAGGCGACAAAAATAACTAAGTAACTGTCAAAATTACTCTGAAAATAAGCTTTTAAGGTTTGCCAGAGGAAGCAGATGTCCCAGATCCCCGCCCCTCCTCACCTTCATTCCACAAATCAGATTACTCAGACAATGCATATCTGAGGTACTTTGTTTCTTAATGGGAATCTTTTCCAACTTGGAGATAGATACTTTGAGACAAAGATTATTTAAAGTCTTTTTTTGGAAAAATACTTTTGGACTCACGTTTTATTAAACCTCCATCCATGAAGAGAGGAATGTGCAAGTAATTTATATTTTACAAATAAACATTGGAAGTATTTATACTATTTAAAAATGAAGAACTCTCAATTAAAACAATGTCATCAATAGAAGTAAACCAGAATTAAACTTTCACAAGACACTGTTGTTGTTAGCTGCTGTCAAGTTGATTCCAACTCATGGCGACCCCATGCGTGCAGAGTAGAACTGCTCCATAGGGATTCAAGGCTGGGACCCTTCAGAAGCAGATCGCCAGGCCTGTCTTCCGAGCTGCCTCTGGGTGGGTTCAAACTGCCAACCTAGCAGTTGAATGCTTCACTTGTGCCACCCAGGGACCTTCACATGACACTCCCGTTACCTGTGGCCATCAAGTGGATTCCGACTCTTAGTAAGGACAGAGTAGAACTGCCCCATAGGGTTTCCAAGGAGCGGCTGGTGGATTCAAACTGCTGACCTTTTGGTTAGCAGGCGAGCTCTTAATGGCTGTGCCACCAGGGCTCCCACAGGACACTAGCTATCTCTAAAGTCTTGTTTATTTACAGATAAGAGTTGGCAGATTTGAAAAAACTCAACAGAAAACTGAGCAAGATGGAATTCAAGACCGCTAGAAGTACGTATCTCCTACTGGACAAGAGAACAAGACTATCCATTTGTAAAAGTTTTCATTTCCACAGCTTGGATCAGCCATTGAATTAGTTATGACTAAAAATGGCGCTGCTTCTTTGCAAGCGCAACTTCTCCCTTTCTTTCTGAGATTCCTTTCTTTTGTTATTTCTAAAGTTTTCCATTCTCCAGGCCTGGCTCAGGAATCACACTCATTAGCCTTTCACTGGTTAGCTGCGGATCCTTCTCCTCCACTCTCAGTTGGAGCCAGCTCCCTGACCGAGGTTCGCAGGTGAAGTACCTGTGTTAACTGAGGCTCTCCGGACTGCAGTGTCAGGCTGACGCAGCAAGGATTTCTGTTTTAGGAATTAAGGTCAGGTTGGGAAAGGTAAGGAAACCCTGGTGGCACGGTGATTAAGAGTTCGGCTGCTAACCAAAAGGTTGGCAGTTCGAATCCACGGGGTGCTCCTTGGAAACACTGTATGGCAGTTCTACTTTGTCCTATAGGGTTGCTGAATCGGAATCAACAACGGGTTTGGGTTTTTTTTGTTTTGTTTTGGGAAAGGTTACCCCATCTCAGGGTCGCTGACTTCTAGGTTGGTATTTTTGGGGGCTATCTGAAGATCCTCTTAACCTGACAGAGGACGGTCCATGTCCTTTTCAACAATTCCAGCTTTCAGATCATCACCAGACTTCTTCAAAAAGCATCTGGGAATCGCCACCTAACGTCTCTCCCAATCTCCCCGGGTAACATCAGTCTCCTTTGTGCAGTTTCTGCAGTGAACAGTACTGAGTCCTAACAGTACCAGAACAGAACGAGACCGAGGGAGTGATGCAGCGCCCGGGACTGCGAGGGTCCAAGGAGAGCCCCGCGCTGCCCAGGGTGGGCGGAGATCCGAGGCAAGCTGGCCTCAGAGAACGGTCAGAAACACTAAATACACACAATTGTAGCGACCAAATGAAAATGGGTGGCAACACTTAAGTGTCACCAGGGAACCCAGCTGAGTGTCCAAAAATGACAACGATCTTGATTTCTTTCAGTGCTGCACAGACATTGCCCCTCCAGGGGCTTCGCTCTGGCCACCCCGTCCCGGCCGCGGGGGCGGGTCCACGTCTCGGGACTGCGCTGGTTCTGAGCCAGGCGTTCGAGCCCAGACCCACCAGAACTGCGACAGTGACCCGGCAGCTTTTCGCCTATTGTATTCAGGGCCATTAGCCTTTAAGAAACTAAACCTCAACACAAACTCAATGAAAAACTGAGCATGAATTGGGGGCCTAAAAAAAAAATGTGGCACCTACAACCCCTAACCTGAAAGATTAATTCCTCTGCCTTCAAACCACCAGGGTCGATAGGGCGATTCTCGCACATGCAGGGAAGCGACTAATCCCAAACACGACCCATCACGGTCATTTTCAAGGACACCTGCCCCTAAGGGCACACGCAGAAAGACACCACACTTTTGTCAGTGCTTGCTGCGCGCACAGGGCCGTATGTAAATGACGTGACTTTCAGGGTCGTTTCTGATTGGCAAAACCTCAGGCCTCGTCACCAATAGAAGCAGCCAATGAGGTACAAGGATGCAAAGTGCCTCTGTCCCACTGGCGACTGCTGCAGGCATGGCAGCGCCCAATGGCAGGGCTTGGAGCGCGCACTCTACATTGCTTATAAAACCCCACGCCTCGGTGGAGCAAGTCTTTTAGACCACGCCGTTTAGACGCCATGTCCGGGCGAGGAAAGCAGGGAGGCAAGGCGCGCGCCAAGGCCAAAAGTCGCTCCTCCCGTGCGGGGCTGCAGTTCCCAGTGGGGCGCGTCTACCGTCTCCTCCGCAAAGGCAACTACTCGGAGCGCGTCGGGGCCGGCGCGCCCGTGTACCTGGCGGCCGTGCTCGAGTACCTGACGGCCGAGATCCTGGAGCTGGCGGGCAACGCGGCCCGCGACAACAAGAAGACGCGCATCATCCCGCGCCACCTGCAGCTGGCCATCCGCAACGACGAGGAGCTCAACAAGCTGCTGGGCCGCGTGACTATCGCGCAGGGCGGCGTCCTGCCCAACATCCAGGCGGTTCTGCTGCCCAAGAAGACCGAGAGCCACCACAAGGCCAAGGGCAAGTGAGGCGGCTCACCGGCCGCCCGGGCTCCCGGCCCCAGAAACCAAAGGCTCTTTTCAGAGCCACTCAAATTGCCAGGAGAAGAGCTGGTGATTTTTTTTCTTTTTCCTGTCTTTATGCTGTCTTTGCACTGAAGAGAGTGAGCGCAGATGGCTACGTGACTGAAGTTGCTTTCGCTCTAAATAGCCTAGGCCAATCAACGTTGGCGTAACGCAAGCAATTTCGATTGGGTCCACAGTGCCCTCTGGTTTCGTGGACCCGGGTGGATGGGGGGTAGTGGGGTGAATAAGGTGGTTATACTGGGGTACTTAAATTGCCGTTGAAGGGATGCCTCCCTCACCCCCAATTGTAGCCTGAACGTTGCTGCCCAGACCAGAGGTCATGTGGTAGGAAAGATCTTGGCTCAGGGCTTGTTTCTGCCGGGGGTCTCCCTCCTCCTGGTTCACTTAGGCCTCTGCCCCCAAGTCTAGGATATAAACCCTGCCTTTCTTTTTTAACAGCTGCCAGTGGGGTCTACTTCCCACTCACAGCCCCCCCGCCCCAATGTGTGTCAGAGTAGAACCGTGCACCACAGGGCTGGTTTTTCTGAGGTAGATCAATAGGCCTTCATCTCAAGGCATCTCTGGGTGGACTCGAACTTACAACCTTTCAGTTAGCAGCCCATGTCCCCGTGGCATTGTAAGCCGCGCAACTCAGAACCCTCCTAATCAAGCAGATCTCGATCCTTTGAAGCGCCAGTGGCCTCTGTGAAGTCTGGCAGCACTGACACCCTCCGCCACCCCTCCTTAGACGAGTTCCATCCGGGAATCTCAAGTCCACTGCCTCTGCAGTCGGTGAGTCCTGGTTGGGATGAGGGAGACAAAGTCCAGGGAAGAGAGAAGTTCGGCAGAAAACTTCCAGCTTCCAGGATGATTTTTGTGTGCAGAAAGGTCGTAACTTTTTAGCAGGAACCCAGGTGGCCTCCTTTGCTGCTAACCCCAGGCGCCAGACAAGCAGATCTGAGCTTTCCCCCAGAATCTTCCCTTCATTTGGGATCCGTGTCGGGCAGTTCTGAACTTGAACAGCGGATGAAAGGTCTCCAGGTACGTGTTAGTCCGGGTTGAGAGTCAGCTAAGAAACCTCGGAACACAGAGCAACTGGGCTGCCTGCAGAAAAGCCTTTCAGAGAAGTTTAGGGTTCCATTCCTCCTGCTTGCTCCTTGTCTCCCAGCTCTCCACTGAGACACCCCTTCTGCGTTGTACAGGTGGGTCCCTAGGCCAGAGACTTTCTGAAAGGTTTATTGACCTGGGTCATAGCTGCTGGACTGCCTTGCCCAGGTAGGTTTCGGCTAACTTTTTTTTAAAATAAACAGCTACTTGTTTTTTTTTTTTCTATGGCTTTTTCTTTCTTTTTTAAAATTTTTATTTTAGGAGTCCCTGGGTGGCACAAATGGTTAAATGCTAGACCACTAACTGAACGGCTGGCGGTTCAAACCCACTCCGAGGCGCCTCAGAAGATAGGCCTGGCGATTTGTTTCCGAAAGGTCACAGCGTTGAAAACCCTGTGGGGCAGTTCTGCTGTACACACACGGGGCTGCCATGAGTTGGAATCCGCTGGGTGGCAACTGACAACAGCCACATGACTTTTTCTGCCATTGGCCCTGGCTGTGCTTTGTTACCCACATAGTGTGAGAAGAATGATGCTTTCCCTCTGAATTGCATCTCGTTGTTATCAGAACACTTCCACAAATAGGATTTATTTGTGCTTCCAAAGGCACTGTTGGAAGTGACATTTCCACCCATTTTACAGAAGTGGAAATTGGAGCTCAGAGATACTGCTTGACTTGCCAGAGCGGCAGATCCTGATGCCCAGCTGCTGTCGATGAGGCCTGAGTTTGTTTCACTGATAACAGTCGCTACACTGGGCCAGGTGCGGTGCTAGGCGTTCATAGGCACAAACACTCCCTTACGCTCTAGGGCACGCTGGACCATTGGACCAGTTTTAATGATGAGAGCCTGAGGCTGAGGGGTAAGTTGCCCCCAAGGCCACACAGCTGGATGGAGCTGGGGCAGCCGTTGGGCTCTGGCTTCCTGAGTTGAGACTCTGCCTTTTTGTTTTGTTGCCAGATGCTTCACATCTCATTTTTAAAAATTATGCTAGTTATATATGGAATGTCCCTAAATTTATAAAATTATTTTAAATTCCACATAAGGTATCATACTGTGTTTTCTTTAAAAATATGCGACATTGTTTTCTACCAAAGAGAATGTAAGCTGCAGCAGCCTATCATAGCGCCTTCAAAGAAGTGGCAAAAAGGTGTGTTTTTTGGGTTTTTTTACGTTTGATCATTTGAACGCTATTTTTAACTGTGAACATTTTGCTTTGAACACGAATTGGGCTGATGAACGGACAGAAGTGGGAAGGCAGCAGATGGGTGACTGAGAAATAGACATTGCAAGGGGAAATAAAAAATTCCAAGACTGAAAAATATATATATATATATATATATCTCCGTAACAAATCATTTGCCATCTCAACATTCTTCAGTGTTCAGTGACCTTAACGTAGGTTCATCATGCTGTTCAACTGTCACACTTACTGTCCCCACATTTTTCCATCACCCTTAACAGAAGCTCAGTGTCCCCTAAGCATTGAGCCCTCCTTTCCACCTCCTCCTGCCTGTCCCTGGTAGGAGACCCTCCTGACCACTGGGCTACAGCAAAGCTGCGTGCTCCCGCTGTGCAGGACAGTGACTCTGGTGGGGCCCTTCCCACGGCCCTGACGTTCCAGGCGGTGCCCAGAGCTCTTCCTTGTCCACAGGTCACTCCGGTTTCCTTAAAATGTTGGGTTTGGATCAGATGACCTCTCAGGCAGGGGTTCTTAACCTGGATTAAATCAGATTGTCTGTGAACCTGGATGGAAAAAAATACATCTTTATTTTAATAATAAGGTACAGTTAAGTACTTCAATACTAGCTGAAAGGTTGGCTGTTCAAACCCACCCAGAGGCACCTTGGAAGACAGCCCTGGCGATCTGCTTCCGAGAGGTCACAGCCTTGAAAGCCCTATGGCGCAGTTCTGTTCTGCACACTTGGGGTCGCCCTGAGTCAGAATTGAGTCCACGGCAACTGAGAACACTGAGGTAAAATAACCTCTTTTTTGATACTAATTCCCGGCATCCAAAGTGTGGTCTGAAGACCAGCAGAATCAGCATCACCCAGGCTCTTGTTAGAAATGCAAGATCCGGGACCCACTCTAGACCCACTGAATCCGAATCTTCATTTTAACACAGTCCCTGGGGTTTGCCTGCAAATTCAGCTCTGAGAAGCACTGGGCTCACTCATTCTGAGCCGTCGGTTAATTCAGCAGCAGGAGCGGCCGCAAAGGCGTTTTGGTCAAGCCCCAGAGTTCAGTGGATAGTTTCTCCCTATGGTTCACATTTGGCTTTTTCGTCTACCTGCATTGACACTTCTGCTTTTCTGCGTGTGTGTGTTTAACCTGAGTTTTACTATTGAGGATCCTCACCTACTGTTTGTGCAGCACTGGAAGAAATCACGATCATTGTCATTTTTGGACACTCAGCTGGGTTCCCTGGTGACACTCAACTGTTGCCACCCATTTTCATTTGGTCGCTACAATTGTGTGTATTTTAGTGTTTCTGACCGTTCTCTGAGGCCAGCTTGCCTCGGATCTCCGCCCACCCTGGGCAGCGCAGGGCTCTCCTTGGACCCTCGCAGTCCCAGGTGCTGCATCACTCCCTCGGTCTCGTTCTGTTCTGGTACTGTTAGGACTCAGTACTGTTCACTGCAGAAACTGCACAAAGGAGACTGATGTTACCCGGGGAGACTGGGAGAGACGTTAGGTGGTGATTCCCAGATGCTTTTTGAAGAAGAAGTCTGGTGATGATCTGAAAGCTGGAATTGTTGAAAAGGACATGGACTGTCCTCTGTCAGAAGTGGTTATGGGTCCCAGAGTAGATTTTGACAAGAGAGTGGTAATCCATAGGACCGGAGCTAGGCTGGACACTGGTGTGCCAGAAGGCCCCTGAAACACAAGTGCACAAAGTCACAGAGGTCTGGGCATCAGAGGACTACAACTTCTGACAGGCTCGTGTCTTACAAGTCCAGGGAGAAGCACTTTGCAGATAGGTCAAGTGTGATTGGATGAATCGTGGTGGCATCTGAAGTTCAGCCACTTGGTGGGAATGGCCAGCTGGTGGGTCTGAAGATAAACCACCCAAGAAGACAGCTCAGTTGGGAAGGTGCAGGGCAGGCAGACGTGGGCGAGGAGACTGCTGAACTGGGGCACATCCGGCAGTGGGAATGCAGAAGAGCACCACGTGGAAGGTGGCAGGGGAAGAGCCACCCCAGGCACGGCAGATGGTGAATGAGGGGAGGCTTGGCTGGGGAGCCCAAAGGCTGCGTGGAATAAGGCATTTATGGTCAACTGCCCTTTCTGTACATATCTTCAAGCTTATCTCTGGAGTGTGTAATTGCCCTAATATGTGCTTTTTGACTGAGATAAAATTCACATAAAATAAACCATTTAAAAGTGAACAATGCAGTGGCATTCCGGTGTTGTGCAAACACCACCTCTATCTAGTTGAAAACATTTTCATCACCGCGGAAGGAAACTCTGTCCCCATTAACACGTTGCTCCTCATTCCTTTAACCACCACCCCCCCACCCAAGCCCCTGGCAACCCACCAATCTATGTTTTGTCTCTATGGATTTGTTTATTCTGGACATTTCATATAAATGGAATCATATAATATGTGGCCTTATGTGATTATCATTTCTTTCACTGAGCATAATGTATATGAGATTCATCCATGTTGTAGCATGTATCAGTACTCCTTCCCTTTTTAATGGCTGAGTAATATTTCATTGTATGTGTATATCACATTTTCTTTATCCATTTTCCTGCTGACAGATGTTTGGGCCATTTCTACCTTTTGGCTACTGTGAATACAGCTGCTGTGAACATTGGTGTTCAGGTTTTTGTGTGAATACCTGTTTTCAATCTTAGAATTGGAATTGCTAGGTCATATGGTAATTCTGTGTTTAACTTTTGGAGGAACCTGTTGTAATAAACAAAAAGCTATAATTGAGGTGCCCATATAATTTATTTTCCCAATTGGGACATTTTTGAGACTGAAAAGCAGTACAATTAGTAATGATTAATAATTTTAAACATTAATAACTAATGGTAACTATTAATAATACAATGAATAACCATCAAGTAACTAATAATTGATCACAAGGGGACAACCTGCATGAACGGGACCATACCAGTAAGAATCAGATCTAAATCCCCCAGCTATAACCCTCTCCAGCCTTCCGACTTGGCTGTCTACAAGGACAGGTTTAAAAGATCCAGCCAGGGTCTCTTTCGGAAAATCTGTGAAATTTTCTGCAACATGTTCATTAAGGAAAAAAAAAAAAGAGCCTTGACCCACTCTAACCAGCACCGCTCAACAGCAGCCCAGGACCCTGGTCAGTGAAGACGGGTGCCGGGCGGCCTTCACCAGCTCTTCTAACTGCAGCACGGCTGCTCATGCTTGAGTTTCATGGCTTCGCTTAAATTTCCTGACCGTCCCAGGCCTCTGTGAGGGGCAGAAAACAATTTGCCCTTTGGTCTTGGTTCCTGAGAGCCAGACCACCCACAGCTGAGGCTAATGACTGAGGACGACCAGACCAAGGGGGACCACCTGGTGGGCCAATGTTGACTAGCCTCAGGGAGCATGGTGTAATCTATCATGGTTAAGTGGGGAGGCCAGCAAGAGCCCTGAACAGTAGCTCAGCTGAGCTTCCTAGTTGGCAAGAACATCTGTTCTTGGGAGGGTTGTGGGTCTCTTGGGCCTTGGAAGCTCAGTGCTGGGATCCCTCAGACCTCACCCTAGGCACGTCTTCATTTGTATCCTTTTGGGTTGTAGTAAATCTGGAGTCCTAAGTATCATATACTCTCTGTGTGAGTTTGTGAGTCATTGCAGCAAATTCTCAAACCCAAAGAAGCTGAAAGAGCCAACTGGGCTGGCATCTGACTGTTCGGTGTCTGAAGGCTCGTGTCCTTTGAGCTTGCGAGCTCTGACCCAGCTCCAGGTGGCTAGGGTCAGAGAGAATGCTGTTTGGGCCGCTGGTGACAAGGATGAAGTGGGAAGGTGAGGACTGGATCAGTCTCCACATTTTGGGGATGGGTTTCACGCTGATCCTTACCACGCAGCTGGCAACGAAAGTGGGCCCCTTCCTTAGTGCATCCCCTTATCAGAGGACTCCAGTTAATACTCTGCCCAGCACCTATTTCCAGGTGTCACTTTTCATGTTTTTCCCCTGGCTCCCACTAGAAAGGGAGATCTGTGAGGACAGGAACCTTGTCATCTTAACAACTGAGTTCTCACCTAGAACAGTGCTTGGGGTCTCGGTGCTTAGTAAATATTTGTGGGAGGTGTTTTATTACTGAATATTGAGGTGAGTTTTCTTATTCATTACTGAATCACTGGTGCCTAAAAATGGTGATCAATAAACATTTGTTGAATCAATAAATACATTTTCTGGAAGTGATGGGGAACGGTGGAAAAAGAATCCAGGGAGAGATCTCATTAGATTTGCATTTGATCAGGAACACTGGTGGCCATGTGGAGATAGAACTGAGTAGGGGTAAGGCTGGATTAGCAATATTCTGTATCCCGGGAACTGAGCACATTACCACCCAAACCAAAATCTGGATTCTGCTGGCAAGAAACAAGTGGAAAATGATGTTGACAGTAGAGGTGGGGGAACGTGTTTGAGCAGGCGGAAGTAAACCTTAACCCTTGGGATCTGGAGGCAGGAATTTCATACTTGCTTCCCACAGTCAGGAACACCTGGGTGGTACAAATGGTTAATGCATTTGATGCTAACCACAAGTTTGGAGGTTGGAGTCCACCCAGAGGCACCTCAGAAGAAAAGTCTGGTGATTTACTTCTGAAAAATAAGCCATTGAAAACACATGGGGTCATCATGAGTCCGAGTCGACTCGGCTACTAGTATTGGTACTGGCGGTTAAGGCAAAAAGAGGGGTGATCCATATATTCTGGAGTCATGCTGAAACAGATAAGCTAACTTTCTGGCACACTGGCAAGGAAGTCTCATGCATAAAACTTAGTGCCAAATAAAACAAAAGTGTCCCCAAACTAGGAGATGGACAAACTGTCTTTTGCACCTGGGTTGGAAGCTTGACAAAGATCAGTGGCAGCCATCTGGTTAGAGTCCGCTCATACCCTGCAGGTGAGGCGGATGGAGGACAGCATTGTGGTCTCCTGTGTTGACGGGGCGTTCCCAGCACTGCCGCTGAGCACGGAAACCCACACTTGGCTTCTCAGAACTTCGCTGCAGGTTTCCTCCTAACAACTGAAAGGAAGAAGATATTTTTCTCTCTCTCCATATGAAACAAAGCTGCATTTTTTATTTGATTTGCTGTTTCTGTTTCCTTTCTTTTTTTAAATTGGTTCTTTTTGTAAGCATTCTGTTTCCCAGCTGTACATCACGCCTGCATTTCATTCCCTTCTGCTTTGGCACAAGCATGCTCACCTTTCTGCTTGACTTGCTGGCACGGTGGTAATCTCGTTTACATGGGCAAATTAGCAGGGTCACACATTAACAGGAACTATGACATTAATTCAACACGACAACTGTTGTCCCATTTGTGGACAATTACAATGTGCACCATGACTATCCCAGTAATCACAAAGCTGAAAAATTGTTTCCTATTTCACTATGTGTTTGACAGATCAAGAAATGGTAGGAAGCTAGAAACAATAAAAATTGAGGTATTTTTTTCCAGAGCTCTGCTCCAAATAGCTGGAAAATGGAAGACGGCTTTTAATTTGCTGCCGAGTGGAAGAAGTAATTATGCAAATCAGGTCTACAGCTAACTAACCGAAACTAAACCCATTGAATTGATTTCAACTCATAGTGACCCTGTAGGGCAGAATAGGACTGCCTCTTAGGGTTTCCAGGGAGCTGCTGGTGGATTTGAACTGCCAACCTTTTTGTTAGCAGCCACAGCTCTTAACCACTATGACACCAGGGCTCCCAGATAACTAAAGGGTCAGGGAATCCCTACATTGCTCAGTAAATTGATTTTTTAGGAAGTCTTGAAAAGCAGGCTGACTGCTCACCTGCCCTTGGTTGCTTCTTGGATTTCTGCTCAGAGCAGAGGAGAAGGAGCCCAAGAGCTCGCAGACAAGGAAGGTCCCTGGGCACTCAGGCTTCCCACCAGGCTCAGCCCCACCCACTGCAGGTGTCCCTGCTCTGTGCTCTGCACTCACTCTGAGTGGGAGCTGCGGAAGCATAAATCCTCATCCAATCTTAGTGTAACGGGGGAGGGATGAAAGTCGGCTTTGCTCAGCAGCGGGCAGAGTTTAAAAGCCATTTACCTGCCATTGTGCGATATCAGGTGGAGCGTGGAGCTTCCACGGTTCAGAAAAAGGCAGCTGGCTCGTTTCTAGAAATATCAGGGGAGATTTTAGTGAAGAATAAGAGAACTGTGTGTTGATAAAGGGAGGGGGAAGGGAAGAGGGTCTCAGGAATAAAGAACAGCACAGGCCTATTTCCAAGTACTTGCTTCCTACGTAATATTAACCCAATCGAATCCCACCATCCAGGGCACCTCTGGTGACATGAACGCTCTGGATCACCCTCATTCCTGCTGGCAAAGAAGAATCTGTACAACTCACTTGATTTTTCTTATAGGTGCTGTGCATCAGTTTTCCCTGTGTTGCTCTTTCTGCTTTCTCACTTGGCAGTGTCTCCAAGCATATTTCAAACGCTTAGAACACACAGCCATCCATACACACCACCACCTGACCCAGGATGGCGTGCTCTTAAGGGTGGGCCTTTGTACAGGGAAACAGCAGAGATTCTCAGGCCAGAGACTTTGCAAAGATATCTCAGCAAAGGGAAATGTCCCCTGAATTGCCCTTTCCCTCCTATACCTGACTGTGGGTGGGTACCCGCTAACGTGGAGACTCATAACCCCCCTATAGGACAGAGTAGAACTGCCGCATAAGGTTTCCACGGCCCTGATCTTTACAAAAGCAGACTGCCACATCTTGCTCACGCCCAGCAGCTGGTGGGTTCCAACTGCTAACCTTTCTGTTAGCAGCCTAGCCCTTAACCACTGACCACAAGGGCTCTTAAGAGTAGATACAGCTGAGAGCCCGATTTCAGACGTTCTGTGGCCGGTTTTACCTCCCCTTCTGCTTGCTAGCTGTTGGAGAAACCTCATCCTTTGCTTGCAAGGACCAGTGAACACAAACCTGGGGTCACTGGTCAAACGTTTTCCTGTTTTGCAAAACCTCTGCTGCTGTGGCCTAAAAAAAGATGCTCTTTTCGAACCTCTGAAGTCAAGGATAACCCAGCCTATGTCTCCTTCACTACACTTCTGGAGTTAAGGTCTCTTTTGGGTCTGTATATCGCGCACAAATATCCCAATAAATTGTGACTTTTTCTTACTCGCGCATTTATAATTCCTCCGCCAATCCAGGTGATTTGGCTTCCCTGACTCGAAGCAAGACTTGCGGTTATTGAAATGAAAGATGGTGTCGAGACCGAACTAATTTGCTCATCTTTTTTTTTTTCATTTTCACAGAAAATAAGTGCTTTGTGCTTATTCCACTATAGCTAGACTTCGCCTGCCTTGCACCCTCGCGACCCCACCCCCACATCCTCTCGATTGTGATTTACATTGCAACACGTTTCTCATTAGTGACTTTCAGGTGGTTGGGTCTCAGTGCTATATATACGCTTATAAACCAAAACCAAACCCGTTGCCGACTCCATTCCGACTCACAGCGACCCGAGAGAGCAGAACCGCGCCCGGAGGATTTCAAGGAGCGGCTGGTGGATTCGACCTGCTGAGCTTTCAGTTACTAGCTGAATGCTCAATCACTGTGCCACCAGGGCTCCGTATATATATATATATATGTATAGTTTCCCCCTTTCAACATACTCCTAAGGGCAAGAGACTTTTTTGTGTAAAACTTATTTGAAATGGTAAGCTAGCTCTAAACAGAGCCTTTGGGTTTGATTTTTGCTCCTCAGACTCGGTTTAGATAAACTCATGGGCTTTACTTGCCCTGGACAGCGGTGGCGGCTCTCCGCCTCCTGGGTCACGACGCGCAGCAGCTTTTTGGGTTCCTCGTCGTTGCGAGAAGCCGGGCTGCCGAACCCGGGATCCCACCGCCCGCCATCAGGGACCGCACCACCGGCTCCGCGCTGCTGCGGCCAACACGGCTTTCTCCCGGCTTCCGCGTCCGCAGTTAAACGGCTGCCATTTTGGTTGTTGAAATAAAATCTGAAACCTCATTTCCCGCTTTCGTGGTTTACTGTGGTTATAGAAACCAGAATTTAATTGGTTAATCCAAAATCTGGTTCACCAATGCAAGCCCGTTTCGGTATGATTATCTGCAGCAGCGACACCTCAATCTGGTCAATAGCTCAACACACAAAAAGAACCGAGCGGCCGGCTGAAGGCAGGCGAGAACTGCGGATCGTTTACGAAAAAACTCGAGTCGGATAAAATGTTTAGATGAAAAATAAGAACAAAAAGATATTAAAACATTTTACTGTAAAAAAACACTTTTTGTAAGCCGAAGCCAGCTCACCAGGCCGAAATCAACTAACAGTCAGTGGATAAACAAAATCTACCAAGCATTAAAACAAATCACGGTTGGTTTTGCAACACGAACAGCAAACGAATACATGGAAACTTCCATATTGGGGGCGCCTCCTCCCCTGGAAGCATTACAGCTCCTTCGTGACCAGAGAGTGGCCCTGAAAAGGGCCTTTTTAAGCGACTGCTCCGTGGACCGGGCAGCTGGCCGGCTCAGCCGCCGAAGCCGTAGAGCGTACGGCCCTGGCGCTTTAGGGCGTAGACTACGTCCATGGCCGTCACCGTCTTGCGCTTGGCGTGCTCCGTGTAAGTCACGGCGTCCCGAATCACGTTCTCCAAAAACACCTTGAGGACGCCGCGCGTCTCCTCGTAAATGAGACCAGAAATGCGCTTAACGCCGCCGCGGCGCGCCAGGCGACGGATAGCCGGCTTTGTGATGCCCTGGATGTTATCCCTCAGCACCTTTCTGTGGCGCTTGGCACCACCTTTCCCCAAACCTTTACCACCCTTCCCACGACCAGACATTCTCACGGACTAACTAACGAAACAAACCAAAGGGAGGGGCGCTCGTTTAGCCTTTATAAGCAGCTATCGGACCGAATTGAAAACCATCAATGCTAGGTCCGATATTTGTTGGCGCCTTAAATTGGACGCCCTCTCTGGAGAAAAAGTGTACTACAGCGTATTCTTTGCTTTTAGAGTTACACTTTACATCCAGATTTAGAAAAATAATAAACGTGCACTGGAAAACTATATGGACTATAAAAAATGAAAATCAACATAGTTTGTGCTCAAATTTAACGTCACATTTTAATTTTAAGATGAAATAATACTCTTATTTTTGTCGGCCATCATCTTTTATTAACGAATAACTTTCTAAAGCCAGGGAGGATCAGGCAAACAATCAACAGATCCCGCGTTCTTTAACAAATGCTCCCGGTCCCAGGAAGGGGGAAGCAAAGCCATCACTAGAATATATTGTCTTAAGTGCAACAGCAGAGGTGTGCGCAGGATGTCACTGGAGCACGGAAGGAGGGGTCCAGTTTAAGGTCCAAGCCTACCTTGAGAGAGTAAAGTTGGAAGAGTCCTCATTCTAAAAGGAAGCAGGTGAATGGAGGTGGAGCGGTTTGGAGGGGCACTGCGTGTGCAGGGTTATAACCTGCCGGGTAGGCATAGCGTAGTCTTCTCACTCACTGATTTAGGAGATAGTATTAGAGTCACTATTCCCTGTCCTAGAATGTGGCGTAGCTGGAGCTGGACTCACAAGGACACATCAACTGGGCTCTGAGGAATAAAGACAATAGCTAGGACAATCTTGGAAAACATCTTTTAGGGAACCTTTCACATAAACTAATAAAATAGCGCAAATGACCCGTATACCTTCCACTCTTAGCTTTTTTTATTAGCCTTTAGTGAACAGTAAGATTTGTTGGACCAGTGAAGACCCTCCTGACTGTCATTACTGAAACCTGTACTAACGATTGTTAAGAAACACTATTCAAAATCTAGAAATCACGGTGACTTAACAGTTTCTAGCCAATCTGTGAAAAGGTGAAGGTTTCAATAGTTTTGCACATTTGCAATGTTAATATATAATGATGATTCTGTAACCACCTCAGACTCGGGCAGACATGGCTGTGACAGCATGCTTGTCTGTTTCCTACCTTGCCTTTTTGAATATATGCTGAATAAAACTTTTCTTTTAGCTTTACTGAATTTTGTGATGTTTTTACCCTAGACTTCATTATTTTTTTTTTCAGTCAATAGACCCCTTTTCAAAAAATGTATTTAAGATGCTTCAGGCATCTTAAATATATGAGATTTAAGATCTCATATAAATATCTGTAAAATATATAAATTTCAAAAGGAACCAATTATATTGAAATACATCTTCACTAGTAATATATTTTTGAAGATTTTACAATATAGTAACATGTGCTTTTTATTAATTCATTAATTAACTGGATGATGCATTTAAAATATAGGCAACTTAAAATGTTTATTTTTAAAGAGATAATGTGAAAACTATTGCTGCTTACCTTGAATGAGAACATTAAGCTGTGTGGTCATCTTTGATAAGGCAATGCTCATGTCATGTTGGATATCCATCAATTTTGATTTTTTGATCTGATGGTTAACAAATGTTAGATTCCAACTGTCTTAGTCATCTAGTGCTGCTATAACAGAAATACCACAAGTATTTAACAAAGAGAAATTTATTTCTTCACAATAAAGTGGGCTAAAAGTCCAAATTCAGGGCATCAGCTCCAGGGAAAGGCTTTCTCTCTGTGTCGGCCTTCTCATCAATTTTCCCCCAGACTAGGCGCTTCTCTGGGAAGGGACCCCAGGTCCAAAGGATGTACTCTACTCCTGGCACTGCTTTTTTGATGTTATGAGGTCCTCCCTCTTTGCTCGCTTCCCTTCCATTTTTATCTCTTGAGAGATAAAATGTGGTGCAGGCCACACCCCAGGGAAACCCCCTTTACACTGGATCAGGGATGTGACCTGAGTAAGGGTGTTACAATCCCACCCTAATCCTCTTTAACATAAAATTACAATCACAAAATGGAGGACAACCACACAATGCTGAGAGTCATGGCCTAACCAAGTTAACACATATTTTTGGGGGACACAATTCAATCCATGACACCAACTATGATAAGTTTTCCATTCTGAGATCCAGGCGTTCATCTTTGACTACATCGACATCATCAGTACTCAGTCAGAAGGAAAAAAATTGCAGATCTATGGGATAATTTTGATGCCATCAAGAAAGAAATGATTTTGCAAAGAGTTCTAAGTGTTTCCAAGTATTCACAAAATTCTTTTTTCAAAAAAATTGACAGAGAACATTGTCGCCAGCATTGGAAAGCTACGACATGCCTTTAAATTGAGAACACATGACTCTACCACTTGGTCGACACAGCACTGCCAGGGCTTGGCCAGCTACATCACACGAGCAGCACCAGACGCGAAGACTGCAATCACGTGCAGTGGGAGTCCCTGAGTTGCTGAAACGGCTAAGTGCTCGACTACTAGCTGCAAGGCTGGCGTTTCGAACCCACCCAGAGGCTCCTTGGAAGACGAGCCTGGCAATCAGCTTCGGAAAGGTCACAACCTTGAAACCCTATGAAGGAGTTCTGCTCTGCACACATGGGATCGCTATGAGTCGGAATTCACTTGAGTGCAACGAACAATACCACGTGCAGGGTACCCAGGCGAAATTCTCATCGTGATTTGAATTAATGATGTGTGTGAAAGATATTTCTAGGTATCTGCAAGAACTGTATTTTAAAACACATATGAAAATTTCTGTGGTTTCTGTTGGTGCTAATCCTATTGTAGTTTGTGGCTTACAATCCAAATGGAAGAAATGCCAAATTTCTACTACAGGTTAGTGAAGATGAAAACTTTACTTTTTTCTCCTACAAGTTCATGGACCCACTGAGTTAAGAGCCCCTGCGGAAGCTGGACAATGAAAAAGGAAGACAGAAGAATCGATGCATTCGAATTCTAGTGTTGGCAAAAAATATTGAATATACTGTGGACTGCCAGAATGAAAAAAAATCAGTTTTAGAAGAAATACAGTCATAATGCTCCTTAGAAGTGAGGATGGTGTGACTTCTTCTTGCTTACTTTGTTTGGACATGTCATCAGGATTGCCCAATCACTAGAAAAGGGCATCATGTTTGGTAAAATAGACGGTCAGCGAAAATGAGGGAAATCTTCAGTGAGATGGATTGACACAGTAGCTGCAACAATGGACTCAAACATACCAATGATCATGAAGATGGTGCAGGACCAGGCAGTGTTTCGCTCTGTTATACATAAGGTCATAATGAGTCGGAGCCTCCAGCAACTAACAACGACAATGACAGTGAACTGTGAAGAAAAGAGTGGCGGTGGAGCTGTGTCCCGACTACAGGGAATGTTCTCAGGACCATGTGGAGGAACTTTAATTCTGTCGGTGGTCAGCAGGGGTACCGGTGAACCATGTCAAGGCAGAAGGTGACAGGATTAGAACTGTGTTCTAGGTGGCAAAACTCTGAGGGGATTATGTCTGGGGACAGGGAGGTCAGCCAGGAGACAACTGCAAAAGAACAGGAGAGAGAAGATGAGGACTTGATAGTGATCACAAGCATGGGGAAGAGAATATGAACTTAAAATTTCTGTTATATTAATTATATAATTAAACATTATACTTATATACACATTGTTATGGATTGAATTGTATCCCCCCAAAATGTGTGTCAATTTGGCCAGGCCATGATTCCCAGTATTGTGTGGTCCTCTACCATTTTGTGATCTGATATGATTATCCTATGTGTTGTAAATCCTCACCTCTATGATGTTAGTGAGGCAGGATTAGAGGCAATTAGACTAATGAGGCAGGACTCAGTCTACAGGATTAAGTTGTATTTTGAGTCAATCTCTTTTGAGATATAAAAGAGAGAAGTGAGCAGAGAGACATGGGGACCTCATACCACTAAGAAAGAAAAAGCCAGGAGTGGAGCACATCCTTTGGACCCAGGTTCCCTGCACTGAGAAGCTCCTAGACCCAGGGGAAGATTGATGACAAGAACCTTTCCCCAGAGCCTACTGAGTGAGGAAGACTTCGCCTGGAGTTAGCACCCTGAATTTGGACTTCTAGCCTCCTAAACTGTGAGGGAATAAATTTCTGTTTGTTAAAGCCATCCACTTGTGGTATTTCTGTTATAGCAGCACTAGATAACTAAGACACATGTCTATACTAATATATAAAGGTTGCATTTAGTATTTATAGTTGCCTGCATACATTGGAAATAAAACAGATGGGTTATAGTTATTTATTTGATGTGGTGAACAAGGGAGAGAGCTCTACACTTATGATTTCTGCACTTTTCTGAATGTAGGTTATACTTCAATAAAAGCTTTATTTTAAATAAAAATCTTGCCATGTGTGAGTTCTGCCACAATGGGAAATCACTGAAAACGTGTGCTTATTTTGACTGCTTTGATTAAAGTTTTAAGCAATTGATTATCACGTTGAAAATAACAAAAATGCCTTCTAAATAACCTCACATAACTAAAAATTTGTTATTTATTCTGTCCCTAGTTTACCCTGCTTGGATCAAGGCACTTGGTTTCTCAGTATAATAAAGAAGTTGTAAAGGATTGGGACTAAATGTTATGGTCATAGCAATTCATAAGACAGAGTTCACGGGTTTTCCCAATAAGCTCAAAAATAGAACACAAAATGGGTTGTATGTCTATATTAGATACAACAATATTTTGACCATGGTCAAGAAAACTGGTAAAGGAATGGTCTCAGGGCATCTATCTTGCTGACCTATCCTTCTCCACTCTGTACCAGCATCGCCTGCTTTCCACGGGATAAGCTCGATTCATGCTTACTTCAAGGCTCTTCTTGATGCTGTCACTAGCATCTGCTTCTTGGCATTGTCTTTTTCTTTTCTATCATTGTCTCCACTCAAGGCTGACTCTTTGTTGACTTGTTCCTGGAAGACTGCACTAGCTTTTTAGTAGCTCTACCTCGTATCTGTCAAG